TCTCTCTCTCTCTCTCTCTCTCTCTCTCTCTCTCTCCCTTTGATGTATTGTATATACAAATATATGTGGATAGGAGGAGGACATGGCTAACGGGAACGCCATGACGTCTGATAGATTCAAAGATCTTGTGTATGACTTTTGGGTTTCGACTAATCCGGAGAGGTATGAGTTTTATGCATTAATATCATTCATCACTGTCTTTATTGATGTCTCCAATGATATGTTTGATAGCAAAGGCAAGTATATGTTCGGACCCTTTGATCAATCCATTGATGAATTGGAACAGAAGATTAAAAAGCAATGATTGAGACATAATATTGAGACATACTATACATGATATTCTTAATCATTGGAGATATGGCCACAACTCGTCAACATTTGGCGTTATTAATATCTGTATTATGTTTAACACCTCATAACAGCTCATGTGATATAACATTAATAACACAATATAGAGTCGATTAAACGCTATTTATATTCGGCTAACTTTCACTAAAAATCTATAACTTTCCTATTATTGGCAATAATTTATTACATGTATATATAAATAATAATTGATTCACTTATCAATTATTAATATAATATAGTTAAATTTGTTATCACTATTATAACAATTCAAACTTTTATTATTATAGTAATTTATAAATATTATTAAGTAATTCTCACTTAATAAACAAATTTGTACACAACTACCAGTCGCTAGTAAATAGTGACAACAATTTAAATCAATAATTCTGGCGTCAATTCTATGTAAACCTAGACTAAAAACATATAATAACGCTGTTAATAACGTTATAGCATTTCTCATTAACGTTATTAAAATTTTATTTATTAAATTTTGACATCCATGTAGATACAATGGAGAAATTTTAAAAATTTAATTTCTTAGAAATCACTGTATATTTTAATCGATTAAATAAATTGATTATTTAACCACAAAATTAATTAATATTTAACTTCATTTATAATTTCAATAATTATTTTAATAAAATTTAATGAAAATAAAATGAAAAATTTATTAAAAATCTATACCAATTTGTATTTAATATTTTGTTTTAACTTCAATGTATTAATTTTGAATGTTAGACATTAATTAAAGCGATTATAATCTCTTCTTAAATAAAAATAACAAAACTGAATAATATAACCAAATTTTTCATTGTACTATTTATAAACTTTTATATTATTTGTGTTGTTTTTTATAATTGTAATTAAAAATAACAAAAATATAATTTTAAGATAACTTACTCTTCTTCTCTTATATAGTGCTTTAAATTTATTATAGCGTTATTATTATTATTATTCATTAAATTATTATGAATTATATTTTAAATTTAATTTTAATAATACTATATAAATAATGGACACAAATTATTTAGACCTCAAAAATAACGTTTATTTAAAATTGAATTAAATGTCATGAATGAAATTTAAATATAAATAAATTAAATGTTAAGAAAAATATATGATAACCGATTGTGTAATTAATAAGTCATTTAAATACAAATTGTTAATAGTTTTAATTTTATTATTATATAAGTAGCTCTTATTCACAATTATTTGATGATATTTATAAATTAATTATTTAATTAACACCAATATCATTGTTTACAGTAGTATAATGTTAAGTGTAATTAAATCTATCTTAAATGATCTGTCAATCAATAAGACAGATGGGGAGGCATTGGAAGTCAAATGTGATGTTCAAAATTGTTAATATACTCAACACTACTGATCTCAATGTGTTTTTATGTTTTGTCCATATCTAGGAAGAATTGCTAATATATTATATTTTTTGATCAAAACTTAATACCTTGTAATGAATTATATATTTATCTCTCGAAATTTTTAATCAAATATTGATTGAAAATTTTGTGATATAGGAATTTTTCCTAACAATTTCGATCACTTTATTTGTATAATTAGTGTCTTATAATTGATATAAAGAGTTAAAAATTGAAATATCAATAAATCTCTGGAGCGGAACATTAAATGGAAAATCATTAATTAAAACTATTATTTTAAATCCTATATTTTGCATTCAAATAGTATTAAAATTTATAATCATTTATCTAATATGAATTTGTGTAAAATTCTTAGTACATAACAAATATATAATAAACACAAAAATTGTTGGCAAATCGTTGGGAAAGTGAGAGTTTAATTAAACATAACATCAAAATATATATCGAAACAACAAATTTAACAAAAGAGTGTGAAATACAGTCATCGCTCTAAACGTCGGATACTTTGCGGCCTTTCGTTATAAATATGTTATCAATTAATTCAATCTGTTATGAATCGATCGAAATGTAAAAACTAGTTTTATTAATTTATGATTTTATTTCGTGGCGACAATGTTTGATAATCTAATATATTTACAACAATGTATATCGAAAAATTAATTTATTTCCCAAATTTCTACGCCAAACAGTATTTGAGCGATAAATATATGTTTGTATTTATGCAGTGCTGGCTTGAGATCGGATCGAGAGTGGGTTCACCAAGTATTTCATAAACACAAATTGATATTAAATAAATAATTTTGTTAATTTGTAATTTGTTTTTAACCCAATAGTATTTTAAGAACAAATAATCCTAGTTACTTTTAATATATTTATAAATCAGATGATAATTTAAAAATTATTTACAAAAAATCTACTTAATTCTCATCAATTAATTAATGAGAGTTATTTAGTTATATTTACATGAAATCTATTTTAATATACATTTTATGGCCAACAATGAAAACAAACAAACAATTATTGGTAACAATTAAGATAATCAATAGTTTTACATAACATTACAATAAATTAACAATTGATATATAAAATGTATTTAAGAATGAGATAAATGGTTTGTTTAGTGCTATTAATTATAGCTTTGTTTTTCAGTTTTAATTCATTTAAAAATAACTAAAGAGTCAGATTTACAGTTAATTAGTTTAAATAAGTTTAGCTAAAACTTAAATTGAAATACAATGTAATAACTATTTACAGAATTCTTTACAAGAATGATAATTAGATGGACCGCAAGTCAACCAGCGATGAAGCGATCATTTGATAAACTCATAAACAGTTGTGAAATATTTTTTTGATTTTTGACTAAAATTTTTCCAAATATTTATAATTACAAATACATTGATGTCTATTATAATGAGAAGTGAAGCGATTGAAAATGCGATAACAATTGGAGCTAAAATGCCAAAACATTTATAACAGATATGTTGTTGTGCTGTGAAGTGGTTTGAGAGCCCTATCGAATGGCCAGAATGGGCAGAATTGGCAGAATGTGGTCGATTATCATGTGATGGCATCGACTGGTATTGTTGTAAAGGGTTAGGCCATTAAGTCCTGTGTAGGTCTCCACGCAAAACCCTAACGAAGGCTTTTTTGAATTGTTGGTTCATAAGTGCATAACAGAATGGATTCAGTGGACTGGAAGGGAATTAATGAATTTTTCAGAACCCGAATGTCGTTTACACAAACATATATCTAATTATTTTATGTTAATTACAAACCTATTGGCATAACAGAGAAAATATGTGAAATAAAATAGATGTCTATTAACGCATCCATTGATACGATCGGAACAAAAGCCTTCGACCAGAGCTGTGATGTGATAAGGAGTCCAACAGAGAACAAATGCGCCCAAAATGAATGATATCGTTCTCAACGCCTTTCGCGCCCTATTCTCAGACTTACTCTTCTGTCGCTTCTCTTTCTTTCGCCTTCCGTTTCGTATTCTTTTGCTCAACGATTGAGCCAATGGTTGAGCCATCGGTTGTCGCGTTGTCTCCACTTCATTGCCTCCAATGCCTCCGCTATTTGCCTGAACAGGACTGACGGGACTGTACTCTCTGTACTCTCTGTACTCTCTGTACTCTTTATTCACTGCACAGCTATTCGACGGCTCGTTATCTATAATTGGCTGTAATTCATCGGCTTTTGTAACGCGAGTCGTTGTCTTGGAATTGTCTGCGAGATTGCAGTCAACATAAGTGGTAACCCTTCCGGTCGATGGAACAGACTTTGCATTTACTGGCGAAGACTTGTTGCCATTTAGTTCACATGACAGCCCAGTCTTACAGTTGTGGACACCTTTGGCTGCACTGTTGGACTGTTGGGTACAATGAGAGCCACTTTCTCTCACTAAACAAGCGCTGCATTTGGAAGACTCAATCGCTAAACTGTTTTCCTGATCAATGAATGCAAATTGATTTTCTTCCATAGGAATCGGTGGCTCTTCGTTGATAATGGGCTTAATGTCCAGAGTTGAAGGCGGTTCCGGTCGGCGGTGATTATTAATTGATGCGTCCGTGTCATCGATCGATACGTTTTCGCTGTCATCTCTCATTTGTTTAGCGTTTAAATCGGATTTTCTTTTCAATTCCGACGATTCTGTCGAACATTTAGATGTTTTCACAGAATTATCTGTAATTACACTCAAAGGAGGATTGAGATCGAGTTTAGTGGTGGTTGTGATGAGCGGTGATCGGGGTATTAGTGCCGTAAGCGCTGACTGCGGTTGAATTATGGCTTCAATAGTGGAACTCTTTTTGCTTGTATTGGCACAGATTTTTTGTTTCCCACTTTTGGACACTTTAGCCGTTTTGCTCTTCACTTTCTGCTTAACCGGAAGGGACTGTTGTGTTGGCGGCGACTCTTCATCGGAATCAAAGATAGGAGAACTGGATCTGTCCTGATCTGAGTTATCCTTCTTCTCGTTAAAACTGGTTGTCTCTAAGTTCTTGACGGCATTGTGCGCACCGACGACTTCGTGCTGGTCATTGGCACCGGCGGTCAGGTTCTGCTGGCCTTTGGGTTTGTCTTGACTTAAAAGAGTGCTTTGAGTTTTTGAGATCACAATACCTGGTTTGGGATCATTGGGTCGACTCATCGATACTAATGTCTGCATCTTTTTCTGTTTGGCCTCAGCCTTACGCGCCATATCACTGGCCGTCTTATATATGCCCCCATAGAGGATGAACAGCACAATTATAGTGACGTAAAAATATCCGATTATGAGTGAAGTGTTGAAAACAGGATTCTTGAGAAACTGAACGGCACACTCGTACGGCTCTAACTCTCGTTTACCCACAAAGTATTCCCAACCCATTATACTTATGAAGAAGACTAGAAACGGTACAATCCATGTGATGGTTACCATCCAAAGCACCTTTCGTTTTGTTCGCCAACTCCTATATTTAGCAGCAATTTTTACGGAACAGTATCTGTCGACAGTTATGAGAAGAACTGTATATATAGAGACTAGACATACCGTGTGATCGGTGGCCAGCCATAGATCACACGGAATAGGACCCAATTCCCAGCGACCCATCAGTACGTAAACGGCATAAAATGGCATTGAAATGATTCCTATGAACAGATCAGAGACCGCCAGCGAACAGATGAAGTAATTGCTCGGTTGTCTAATAGCCCTCTCGACCACAAATGCGGTTAACACTAGAATATTGCCTAAAACTGTGAGAATAATGCAAATGCCTATACAGGTAGCTATGAATACTGTTTGCCATGTATTGAACGGCAGCTCCCAATCTGTATCCGGTGGCTCTGTTGCCGTCCAATTGTTTGTAATACATAAATCTCTGGATGTATTATCAATTGGTTGAGTGCTTTGGTTGAGACACAACGGTATAGTGATATTAGCGGTCGTATTGTTTGTTAAATCGAAATCCATTTTGTATTCACGAGAAGCGCTCCAAATGTCTGTTTCTTGATATTTATTTATGAGACAAAACTAATGAGGCATTGGATGAAGAAATGGATTTTTAGATAAACTTTTATTCCTATTATGTATGCTTTGTGTCTCCAATATTAATGAACTCTATTATAATAATTATTGTTTTTATATTATTATTATTTACAAAATATTATTATCATATGTTTGAAGACATAAGGAATTGGCGTTGAAATGAGAAGTGATAGACAGGTTTGAGACTTTCCACTGAAGGCAAGAGTCAGTAGCGATTGAGAAGAGCCGCGCTGTGAGCCGAAGAGCGCATATTCACAGTATATGTCAGTTTGGTTTGAGTGAACTAACGGCACGATATCTGCAACACCGGTGCCAACAACTCTACCAATGCTACCAACGCTACCATTCCTGCAAATAAAAGCATTAGAATAGCCATTAACTCTTCAAATGTAAATATTCCTTAAGGGACTGACACAATGATCTGATGATCAGCACTACAACTAATACCAGGTCTTCAAAACCTCATTACCATCTCTTCAATCTATTCTATAATTTAAAGTCTAATCATTTCAATGTATATATCACTGGCTTTAATAAAATGTCTGATTATATTGAATACTATTCTTTCATAATAATAGAAACAATTATTATTATTATATAAAAATAATGCAAAACATTGTGATAGATTGTTCACTACTTTTATATCTAATAATAACACTAAAGCTATGTTTATATATATTTGATAATTCTGTATATTCTTGTATATTCTGTGTGATGAATGCAATCATCAAATATATTAAATGTATTTCAATCATATTTTTAGATAAATTTTATGATTAAAGAACTAAAAATCTATATTTATTTCATTAAACAATATATTATTTGTAGTTAAACGACAAGAACTTGAAATGATCTGAAAATAATAATAGAAATGAAAAACAGTTCCGATTATTAGATTCAATACAAATGCGAAAATTTAATTTAGAAAATATAACTTGAATTTTGTCGACAAAAATAATAAATTTTAAATCAAACGTCTTTTTGAAGTCGTTTTGATTTTTAAAGTTTTCGTGACATTTCTGTAATTTGATTAACAAATGTTCAAATTTACAACAAAACGGCATTTTTGAATATATTATACAAAACTATAACCAGATTTTATTGAAAACTTTAATCCTTATATGACTTTTAGTTTCAAGAAATATTCACTCATTTTAACACTTATTTAATGCATAGTTATTGTAAATGTTTTTGTTTTATATTTTGAGAGAGAGAGAGAGAGAGAGAGAGAGAGA